TATATCCATATCAACCTTAGCTAGTAGTAGTAGTAGTAGTAGTAGTTGGGGAAGCTCACCCGTGAACCATGGTTCACGGGCCACTTGGCATGCCTCGCTTAGCATGTCAGCAATCAAGAGACCTCCAACTTGACAAGTAAATCTATTAGCTAGCTAGTGCACGTGATTCCTTTTAATCGTATAAAAAGAATCAGCTCCCTTAAGCCTTAAGGAGCAGACAGAATTCAAATACCTTATCAACCGAGTGTTTTGCAATTGCAAGTACTTTGACGACCGTTACGACTTTACGAATATATATTCCTAATCGCTTAAAAGCAATCCAACACTGATCAATGGTTGATTTACTATTAAATGATTAATCACAGAGAAGCTAAAAATACTCTATAGCGAAGATACCTTTCATTACGATACCTCTCTTCTTCTACAACGGAAAAGCGATTCCGTACCAAGTCGCTTTTTATACTACCGATTTTCTTTTATTCTTACGGAAAAGTGATTCCGAACCAAGTCACTTTTATACAACCTTCAAAGCTGTAAAGCCGCGCCTGCTACACATAGCAAACCTAACTAACACGATCGATCTACGTACGAGCAGACAACAACTATAGCCGATCGAGCAACTAGACCTCCAAGTAAGGAGTCCAGCCGACAAAAAGCAATAGAGTATTATACCCTTCGAGTCTCATCACCACCTACGGAACCCCTAGCTATTCAGCCAAAAGGACCATTATACTCAAGACTCCTAAGCCTCTCGAAAAGACCAAACGACGAGATGTCGGGCATCTCATTTGACTTAAACGAGCTACTATACGCAAGGCTAGACAATGAGATCACGGCCCGAGCGATAATGAACGACTTCTTAAATGCGAAGTGTAAAAAGCTAAAGGATTACGACTTGTAGAGCTTATTCCGGCACGCTTTCTTACGCTAGGATTAGACCAGTTTTATAATAACGGAGGACAATACGAGACGAGGCCTTAAGTTTGCTACTCTTATTAGCTTTAAGGAACACTTGCTGTCCAAAAGCGTATAGTGCCTCCTAAAGCAAAGGGGCTACGCCAATAAGATGGTCAAGCTCTTGAACGACGAGCAGCAATACTAATGGACCTTCTAGGAAATAAAAGAGCAGCAAGCAGCACCCTTAAGCTTCGATTCAAGGTGGACCGCCGAAAACCTTACGGACGACGAAGATAATACGCCTCAACCACCTCTACTACTTTTACGAAGTTCAAAAGGAAAGGAAAAGGAGGTATCAAGGAGGGAAAAGAAAGAGATTCGGAGGTTACGCGAAGAATTTGCGAAAGAAAAGAGGAATATAAAGCAAAATATAAAAGTGATAGCAAAGCAAATGGCGGAGTTACGGACTTACGCTATACAATCTAACGAAGGGCTACGACGAAGCACTTTAGCGTACTCGACGCCCTCAATTTAGCAACCGCTACGCAATACGCCAATCATACAAGAGCCAAAATCACCTTAGCGGCCTTTAAACCCCTTTCTTAAGAGCTACAACCGGGTTTCCTAAAATCCAAGGCCGAGTAGCAACAATAACGGCTTCGAAAACATAATCGGGCTTGACAATACGCAAGGCAATAGCAGCTATACGCTAAAAGAAGACCCGCCAAAACCTAAAAGCATTCCGGACAAAATCAGCTTTTACTAAGGACAGCGTGCAGATTTCCGTGCCTAACCTCAGCAACCCGAAAAGGGGATCTAGCACCCTCGGACGTACCGACAAGCTCCCTAGATCCTTTAATAAGCTACGTATCGACAAAAGGGATACTAAAAGTATAAGGATCGCTAAGAGCGCGCTTAAAGGTACGGATATCACCAAGCTAAAGCCCTAGCCGGTAACCCGAATAGCCTTAGCGATCCTGACGATGACCGACGAAGAAGAAACGGGAGAGATTAGCAAGGAGATCGAAGCTACGGGCACGGAAGAAGTAGGAACGGCCCTTCTAGACCATCAAAAAGATTCGGAAACGGACCTTTAAAAGACCTCGGATTCGGAAATAAGCCTTTTAAGGACCTTAAAAGAGGACGGACCACCGGCAATTATATCGGTAACCCTTTACCGATCAGACCATTAGCTAAGCAAAGCACGTTTGCGTACGGCATTCCAAGCGCTTTTAACGATAATAAAGACGATTTCCTTAAACTAAAGGCAGCAGACCCTTACTTAAGAGCGAAGGAATTAGCCTTATTCGCGCGAAGCTTTCTTAAAGAGCTAAAGTATTTAAGATCCGACGATAACTTTAAGACTTAATTAAGAATTTTTGCTGACCAGACAAGTCGATACGGTTTGACCTTCGAGGACTACTTAGCGGCGTTCTCGATTATGCTTACAAAGGAGGTTATAACCTTTTATTATAATCACGTTATTAAGGCCAGACTTCCGACTTTCAAAGCAAACGCTATTGCAGTGAAAGACCATTTCGAGACTGACCATCGGCGGCAAGCAAAATACGACCGCTAAGAAGAAATTTCGCTAGATTTGATTAAGAAAAAGAATCTAAGGACCTCGCTTAGCAAGTGCTTTAAAAAGCTCGTTAAAAAGCTTAAAGAGATTCAAGGCTCTTTACGACCAGGTTTGAAAGATAATCGAAGTCTTGCTAATAAGCTGTATTTAGTTTATAAAAACGTGCTAAAGACTACGATTGCACGAATGAACCTTGCCTTTACTTCTACCGCCGCAATTGCCGACATTCGCAAGGCTATTGCGTTTGCAACTAAGACCTTCCGACCTTTTGCTAAAGCGAATAGAGCTTACGCGAGCTTTAACGAGCTATACGATCATACCTGCTCTTAGCACAACACTTTAAAGGCTGACTCCGATTTAGACGAAGAATACGAATACTTTATTCAAGACCGCCAATACTTCGAAAGTAAAAAAGCTGCCAAGGCTATTAAAGGTAAGAAAAAGTGTTTTGTTTGCAAAAAGCCAAGTTGCTAAAGCATTAACCATATCCCCGACGAAAGGAAGGCATCCGTCGCCAAGTTCCAAGCTTTTAAGGACGCAAAAAGAATGACGAAAAGCAAATTTTCTTAATACGTAGCGTCGATCGAAGGCTAGCCACTTATATTCACGGAAGAATTCGATCAGTTTATCGCAAGCCTATTAAACGAGCCACCCGAATCGGGCAGCCACGCTAATATGTCGGAAGGTTTTGTGATTACCCACGGCACTTTTGACGCTAACGAAGTATACAAACAGCTAAAGATTTAAACGGCATTCTACGCCTTTACCAGCCAAGTAAAAACCTAAAAGATGCCCGGGCAAGATCCGCGTGTGCCCGCGGGTAAGGCAGAAACTTACATAGCCTTTAAGTACTTTGAAAACGTGTTTATAAGCCTTATGATTGATAGCGGAGCAGCTAATTTCTTTACCGCTAGCTTGCCTTAGCTACGAGCACTCTAAAAGAGGTACCCTAAGGTCCAATTAGATACATCTCGAGCAAAAGAGAAGTCCGTCAAATACGGCATCGGCTCTGCCACCTCTATTAAAGCAGTTACCCTAAATACCCTTCTAAGTTAAATAGAGTTCTACGTTATAAAAAGCGACGTACCTTTCTTACTTTTATTAGCTAACATAGACAAGCATAAAGTGATCCTAGATAACTTGCGGAACGTGCTAGTCTAAAGGAAGAAAGAAATACTAATAGTAAAGATGTTTAAGCACGTATAGATGCTATTAAGTAAAAAGCACGCTGCTACTTATTATAATACCGAAAGCGAGACCGTCTACTGCCACTTTACGGAAGAACAATTAAAGACTATCCATAAGCGTTTTAGCCACCCTTTAGCAAGTCGATTTGCTGCTATTTTCAAAAGGGCCGAGCACGAATTTAAGCGAGATTTGCTTTATAACATCCAAAAGTTTTGCTACTATTGCTAAGTATTCGGACGCTCTCCGAAGAGGTTTAATATCAGACTTAAAGACGATACTGACTTTAATAATACGGTATACGTAAACGTAATGCACTTTGACGGCAAGAACGTATTATACGTCGTTTGCGATTCTACTAATTTTCAAGCCGCCACTTTCTTTAAAAGCATGTCCGCACAGCACTTACTTAAAGGATTTAGTCGATATTAAATCAATACTTACGTCGGACCTTTTACAAACGTAGTACACGATCTCGGAACTAACTTCAATTCGGCAACGTTCCGAAGCTACCTTAAAAGTATTAGCAACACCTTAAAGCAGATGCTTATAAAAGCCTATCACAGCGTCGGGCTAGTAGAACGCTACTACGTCCTTGTGCGACGCGCTTTTAAGATCGTCACAAAAGAGCTTCTAAAAGCCCTAAAAGAAGACCGGCTTCAAATAGCTATCAAAGCTATCAACGACACAGCTAGACCTAATAGCCTGGTTCTTACACTCCTCGTTTTTAGGACCTTACCGAAGCTGACGGAGTAAAATCGACTTGCCGCGTCTACTTAAAAGCGTGCTACTGCTATCAACAAAGCTATAAAAGAAGTACGAAAATGCCACGCTGCGAAGCAAGTTAAGGACGCGCTCAAAAAGAAGAATGGCCTAATTACGAAGCATACCCTAGACCTCCTTATTAGCTCACGAGTGCTAGTATGGCGGGAAAACCAAGGATGAAAAGGCCCCTTTCAGCTGCTTAGCAAGCAAGAGCACACGTGCACAATAGCTTGTCCGAAGCTTACGGAATTCAAGTCAACCTCAATAAAACCTTACTACTTTGAAGTTGAAAAGCTGCCAAAGGAGTTGCAAGTACCTAAGGTAAAAGTAAAAGAAAAGGTAGAAAAAGAGGTAGAAGATAATCAGAGCGAAAGCGAAAAAGAGCTAGAAATACGAAATTCGCTTAAACCTTAACATTCGCCTAATCCACCGAAGTCGCTTAATCCAAGAAGCTCGCCAAAACCAACAAACAGCCCCCTTAACCCTCAACTTGCTAATCCCTAGAAGTCAACAATACTAATAATCTAGATACCTTACTAGAAGTACAATCTTAATATCCCGACCGTGCTCGACGAAAAAAAAAGCGATTCTTACGTTCTATTCACCAAAGACTCCGAGGTGTTGATTACCGACAAAGAACGCCGGGACTATAAGCTCTCAACTAAGCTACGAGCTAAAAGAATCATCAAGAGCCCCAAAGCACCATTTCAAGAGTTTAAAGCAAAAGAATTGGCTGGATTAATAGCCTAAGGCATCCTTTAAGTGATCTCGAGCACCGACCCACGCGTTAAAAGCGCCAGGATCTTCGGATCTAAGTTTATTAATAAGATCAAAGGCAAAGGAACACCTACGTTATACGAGAAGTCTCGTATAATGGTCCAAGCCTTCTAAGACAAAAGCAAAACGAAGATACTTACCGAATCACTTACGGTGCAGCGAGCGGGCCAAAAACTTTGTTATGCTTTAGCTCCTTCTTTAATAAAAGACTACAAATGTCAAGTCTATAGCAAGGATATTACTCAAGCTTACACTCAGTCAAGCATAAAGCTCATCCGAATAATCGTCGTGCGACCACTTAAAGAAATCACCTATCGATTTCCCTTCGGCACCTTGTTCTTTATGACTAGCCTTTTGTATAAGATCCCCGAAGCAAGAACGCATTAGTATAAGCGTTTTTCAAAGCATTTCACGGATAACCTCGGAATAAAGCAATCGAGCTTTGATTCTTGCCTCTTTGTATCAACCAATAAAGATCAGCTAAGAATAGCTGCCTTACAAACGGATAATATTCTTATAGTTGTTAATTTAGCTATAAGAACAAAAGAAGAGAAAGAGCTGGTCAAATCCAAGCTGAAGAGCAAGGAAATAAAGACCCTTACACACGCCGAGCTAATGATTTTCAATAGATGCAAGCTATCCTTAAATAAAAAAGGGTTCGGACTATCAGTTAAGCAAAAAGAGCAAAGTGAAAAGCTTGCAATGATCAAGCTCGATTCAGCTATACGGGCTAAAAAGTACTTAAAGCAACGTGCCCGAAGGGCGTATTTAGCTACCATTTACTACCCAAAGGCATCTTGCGCTCTATCGATAGCCGCCCAGCACCAAGAACCGAAGGACGAAGACTATAAAGCCCTTAATAAAGTGATCTAGTAGCTGATCGATCACCCAACTCGAAGGATCTACTACGTGCCCCTAGACCTAAAGACTGCGAAGCTCTTTGTATTCGTGGACGAAGCGTTTGCTAACAACGCTAACCTCAGCTCCTAGATCGGTTTCGTAGCTATCCTTAGCAATAAAGCTCACGTAAGTGAAAACGAGTTCACTTTAACGGGTAACATCCTACATTAAGTATCACAGAAGTGCAAAAGAGTGACAAAAGCAGTATTAGCCTTTAAGCTATACGCGATGTCCCTAAGTATCGATATAGCTATTACTATATCGACTACCTTTGCCTAAATCACGGCTCAGCTAAGAATCCCTAACTTCCCCGTAATCGTGTGCACTAACTCTTACTCGCTTTACGAATGCATAGTAAAACTAGGGACCACTAAAGAAAAGCGTTTAATGATCGATATTATAGCTATTCGAGAGTCATACGAAAAGCGAAAGCTTTTTGAGGTACGCTAGATCGGAAGCAAATCTAACCCTACTAACGCTATAATTAAAATCGAAGCCAATATCTCTTTGCAAGAGCTAGTTTTAATTAATACCTTAAAGGTGCAAGTCGATGGATGGGTAAAAAGGCCGCTGTAAAAGGAAGAGGGAGATTGTTTTTCCTTTGTTTAATTACCTCCTTTTTTTTTTTCGGTCGATATAGTAGTTGGCAAAGCACTATTTGCCAAAGAAAGAGTTGCCGGTGTCGGTATATCCATATCGACCTTAGCTAATAGTAGTAGTAGTAATAGTAGTTGGGGAAGCTCACCCGTGAACCATGGTTCACGGGCCACTTGGCATGCCTCGCTTAGCATGTCAGCAGTCAAAGGACCCCCAACTTAACAAGTAAATCTATTAGCTAGCTAATGCACGTGATTCCTTCTAATCGTATAAAAGGAATCAGCTCCCTTGAGCCTTAAGGAGCAGACAGAATTCAGATACCTTATCAACCGAGTGTTTTGCAATTGCAAGTACTTTGACGACCGTTACGACCTTACGAATATATATTCCCAATCGCTTGGAAGCAATCCAACAAGTTTAAAAGACCGAAGGCCTATATAGCTCTTTGCTTTTAAAATTATCTTCGAAAGACACTTAAAGAAGCTTTAATAAGCGTTCCGTAATTAGCAAGACCGCTTAAAGCTAATTCAATTCTTTTCGAGCTCGACGGGCCTCTTTTTTAGCTCTTTTAACGAAGGTTTTTTGTTCGTTAACGCTTTTATCGAGCTTTTCGTTACGAGTTTTTATATTTACGAAAAGCTTCTTAAGCTTAGCGGCCTTTCGTTAAGACTAAAAGAGAGCTTAATATTAAGCCAAAGCTTTTTCGAAGTTAATAAAAGCCGAAAGATTATCTTTATCGTTTTGCTTACTAATAGCTTCTTCTTAAGTAAAAGAAATTATTAATTAAGCCGTAAAAGAAAAGAAAAGAGCTACTAAAGCAGCTTTAAAAAGTATGCGAAAGATTTTATCCGCGGGGCGAAGGTTGCTATATTATATAAGTGCTATCTTTCAAGTTATACTTAAAATAAACTTTCTTATGATCGTTAGAATCGTTTAAGTGTTTTAACGTCCAATTACTAAAGAATTCTAAAAAAAAAGAATATTATTAAAGCTGTTCTCGGCGGAGTAAAGTAGTTATTAATAATATAACGACTTTAAGCGATTATTTAAAAGAACTCACGGAAGCGCGAAGGTTTATATAAAAGCTTAAAAGAATCTTAAAATAATAATTTAAAATCAACAACTACCGAGTATAAAAGTCGAAAGTAGCTAAAGTTTATATACACGAAAGTAAAAGCGCTAAAGACTCGTGAATTATAGTTTATAAGTCAAAAGCGAAGAATAAAAAAATACGAAAAATACGAAAGAAAAAAAGAGAGAAATAGCTTGGCGCATATAAGGTGCGTCCAGGAGACCTGGCGTGTCGTCACAAAACAGATCATTACGAAACGGATTAAAAAATACGGCTACGCTAAGATCTTCGAAGCTTTTTCTCGCTATGATCTTTATTAAAACGAAAACTCTCGTTTTTAAATACCGTTTATTATTTTCGAAAGCAAGCGAAACTTATACGTTTTATTCTTTTATAATACTTACTCCGATAATACTTATGCTTTTCTTTTTTATTACGCAAGCATTACCGTTATAAGTTCGATTATTTTATTTATCGACTTTAATTTAAAGATCGAAGCTTTTATAAAATAGCTAACGAAAGTTAATATTTACTTAAGACTTACTAATAGCTTCGCTTTCGTACCGAAAAAAGCTTATATAAACTTATTAAAAGCTACTTAATATAAAGAGACTTAAAAGATCGCATTGCATCGGGTTTACGAGATTAATGCGGCCGATACTTATTCGAATCGAAACTACGCTATATCGAAAAAGAAACGGTTATCAAACGATTTTATTTGCATTTTTTATTAATGCTAGTAGACTTTTAATTTATTTAATTATTAATAAAAGCTTTATAAATATCAAAATCAATACTATTTGTTTATGCTTTAGTACGAGCTAGCTTTTTACTTTAACGAAGCGGACTTGATATATATAAAACCGTATCGAAAAAAAATACTATCGATCTCGTTTTAATTTCGAAACGACACTTTTAAGTACGAGCAAGTTTTAAAAAAAGTTCGTAAGATAATAAATAATCTTAATCTTAAGCGTCGTTATAAAGCTTTAAAAGCATAACGAGAATCTATTAAAAAAGCTATATAAAAACGTATTAAAGCGCTTATTCGAGCAGCTAACGGCGGCAATGCAAAAGCTTTTCGTATTAACGACTTTAATATTTCGAATATAATTCGCTAGCAATGCATTATATCGGCGAATTTATATGCTTACGTATTTAATACGAAAGCTATTATTGCATCGATAAAAATTCGAGCGCGCAATACGGCTTTTCGAGTTACGCTATACTTATTAAAAGACGCTTTTTTAGCAAAAGCAAAAGTCTAATCTACTTATAATTAGCTTAAAGTTACTTTCGTTAAGCTAATAAAAATAAATAAACTCGAGCCCGCTTATACCGCGATTTTAAATCAAAACGCTTTACGATCGAAAGACTTACGGAATCTGCTCGTTACGCTATTAAAAGCTCTTAAAGCTGCACTTAAGTTTAAAGCTAAGCTTTTTAAGACTATTAAATTATATAAAGGTTTTAGCAAAGTAATCTTTTTTTTAAAAATAAATTACGAAGCGATTCGTATTAAGCTTTTAAAAGAGCGCGATTTGCTTAAGAATTTAATTTTTAATAAGATTATTACGTTTTTCGCTGCTTTTTTTACTTTTAAACGATCTTTTTTCGAAAGTATAATCGATAAGATAATTTAATAAACTTTTATTAGCAAAAGCGCTATTAATTGCTTTTAAGCTACGGTTAGCGTTGCGAAAGCTTCGGAAGATTGCTTAATTATAAGTAATAAGCTTATATTGAAAGCGACGAATAATCCGATAAAAGACGGACTTGCTTCGAAGCTTTAATAGCTTATTTAAAAAGAAAGTAATATCTTTTTATTTAATAGCGATTTATTTTGCAAAATTACGAGTCGCTTTATTAATAAAGCGCTTTATCGCAAGAATTTACTTTTTTTTTTTCTTTTACTATTTCGATTTACGGCCGAATTATCGATAAAGCAGACTTTATATAAGTTTTTACTCGATTAAAACGGATTTTATATAAAGATACTATTACTTAGCAGTCTTAGCTTAAACGCTTATTCGAATTCTTTTAAATGATTAAGCTTTAATTACAAAAG